AATTTGACGTAACTCCACAACCAGAGCAGCTGGTGTGCTGAAACTTTTTGAGCGCTACCCAGGACCCTGTTTGAGTAACCGCGAGCAAAGAAAGCATTCACGTTGTCACTCACGTACAGGCACGTGAAATTTGACGCAACTCTGCAACCAGAGCAGCTTGACTACTGAAACTTTTTGAGCACTACCTAGAGCCATCTTTAAGTAACCCCAAGCGAAGAAAACATTCACGTTGCTACTCACGTAAGAATACTTGGAATTTGGCTTAACTCCGCAACCGAGGCATCCAGAGCGCTGAATTTTTGGGGCATGGATTGGAAGTCATTGTAATAATTTCTAACAGTCATGGTGACCAATCACAATTCTTTCAGCTAAAAGCGTCTGCTGGGAAGAGCGTGCCACTGGCGAAAAAAACCTGCGAGGGAATTGTGCAAAAAACGCATCCTCGTACCGGCAGCCGGTACGCTTTCGACTAAGTTTGCAGCCATGCAGTGCAGAAAGCACATACTGACGAGGGGGTTGTCTGTGTGTGTGTTTGTGTGTTCGTCCGTACCGATTTTTCATCTCGAAACCTACAAAAGCTACGGGGCTGAAATTTTGGGAAATTAATCCACATGCATATACGGCCCACATCCCGAAAATGAGCGCTCTTATCCGCGTGGTGCCCACGTACGGACCCGCTAAAGTTTTTTACGGGCGAGCTGCTAACTCGGAAACCAGAGAAGCTGGAAAGCTGAAATTTTAAGGGGATGTTTCCCATCCAAGTATGTGTTAGTGAGCTCAAACCCAGTCCCCGGGTATGCGAGGTGCCCACGTAGGAGCCCATGAAAATTTTTTTCGAGTAACTTGCTAGCTGGGAATTTGAGAAGCTAGAAGACTGGAATTTTAAGGAGACGTTCCCCACCCGCGTAGGTGTTAATAAGCTCAAGCTCAGACACCAGGTATGCGAGGTACCCACGTACGGGCCCGTGAAATTTTTTCGGGTAACTTGCTAACTCGGAAACCTGAGAAGCTAGAAGACTGGAATTTTGAGGGGGTGTTTGCTGACAGTTTTGGCGACCAGTCTTAATCTGTCTAGCTAGAAGCACTTGCCGGAAAAACCAGTCCGGTAGCGACAAAAACTGTGGAAAACTATGCAAAAAACGCATCTTCGCACGGGCAACGCGTGCGTTGGCCAATTATAATAGTATTGTTAAGGTCACAGTGTACCCTGTCTGCAAATGTCTCCATCTTGCTAGGGCCCAAAAATGGACGAAAAGAATATGGGTTAGATTCAAGCGTTACTTGTTCTTTTTCAAACGGTAGATAGCAGTTCTGTTTTTAAATACCTTTCCCGTAAAATATTCTCCATTTAAAATTATAATTGAATGAAACATTAATGTTTTTACCAAAATTTTTTTGTTTTCGCTGGAGCACTTTATCTGCTCTCTGAACTCATGTCAGCATAGGTGACTTCTCTTTTATCTTAATTATTTCAAGAATACTATTGATACAATTACACAAAACTTTTCTACATGCAAACTCACTTTGGCCAAAAAATTACTGTTTAGATTGTTCCTGGACATGCCTATAAGTCAATTCTTTTTACTTTTGCGTGTACGCAGTCTACAAAAACAAACATTTGAAAGTTCGCCATGCGCTGACTTCAGCACCGCGAAGATTACCCTGCAGGTGCAAGATGGAGGGAACGATGCGGTGACTAGCAACGTCACTTGCTGAAAGTAGAAGCTTCGACTTCCTCTGCAGTTTGTTTGCTCGTCTCAGTAGTAAACAGGTATCGACACATAGCCACCGCTATCATCCCTATTTTAAGAAACCCGAAAGATGAAGCCATCGACAGGCTTACTAGCTGCTGGTATATGCTGTAAAAATTAAGCTACTGCCGAGTGTCTCCTCTAACAACAAGTGAATACGGGCTGGTTTGCTGCCCGGGCAGCCTTAGTAATCTTTAGGCATGAGCATTTAAGATCGATGTTTTGAATCTTGAAATCGCGCTTTTGAGTGGTGCTATACTGGTAGCAGTTAATATGTTTTAATAAACTCACTTAATGTAATAAAATTTCCCTGGAATGGACTGAGATTCTCGAGCGGGTAGACGAATGGTTGCATAGAATCAAGCAGATCTGTTCAGCAGTGCTAAGGGATAATGCGAATCATATCGTCACTTAAGCAGAACTACCATCATATGCACAGCTTCGTGGTCCACAGAGCCGTGTTTATGTGTGTATTCGATTCCCGAGCATAGCTACATTGTTCTTTGTTGATGATGATGAGGAGATGACGAAGACGATGCTCCTTGTTTTGCACCTACTGCGAAATAATAGAAATCATCGGCAGTTTATGTGCACTTTTTATCAAAGCTGTTGGACACACACTGTAGAGATCCTGTTTTAATAGTGTTGCTGGATATTTGTCTAGTGCTTTAGGCTTTTCTGTTTTGAGTTGCATGTCTTATCTAGTACTAGATACCTTATTTTTCTCCTTTGCAATACCTTCGCACCAGGACACTGTGCTAACGACTGCTGTGCCTCATAATTTTCACCAGTAAAGGAAAATTTTAGTATTCTTTTAGTGGCGTCGCTGCGCAGCATCTTTTGCAGCACCACCCTTTTCGAGGCCGGTGTATACGACGCGTTTGCAAAACCAACCTCCCTCGTAGACTAGGACTTCAAGCTGCTCGAACATGAAACCCCGCTTGTACACTGGGTCCTCAGATTCTTATCCGCAACCAGCGGCGACAGCTCATTCGGGCTCACGCAAAGAAACGGCGGCAGTGACTGTGACGCGCGATTACGGGTATTCCAAGAGTCCGATATGCGGCATGCTTGTACGGATAAAGTTTGTACGTCGCTATTTAGGTTTATATTATTTGATTTTCCAATAAAACTGCATTCATTGAAGGAGTTGCAACTTGCGCAAAAATGCCAAAAGCGTTTAGTTGGAAAACTATTTCGCTTTGCCGTTGGTAACAGCTATATAATTGAAGAACATGCAGTCATCTCTTCGAGCAGTTGCACCTCTGTGCTTCTTAGTGGTATATGCAGCCAGTCAAGCCAACTATAGTGACAGGGGTATAAAATTCTTGGAATATTTACAGCTGACCTCTTCGCTATCGTCTGCCTGCTTCAGGAGCATAACAAAGGTAAGTAGCAGAGAAATCACTTATGAGATAGGCAGAAAACTGCAACAAGTTAACAGTATGTCCGCAGACCAGGCTGACACTGGTATAAAAGTTTGTATTTGTCAGGTAAATATGCGATTGTGACCGCAAAAGTAATCTGAATACTAGAAATTATTTCAAACTTGATTCCAAAACCCTAAGTGTGCAAACCTGTTGTCCATTTTCTAGGGACGGCATTCTTAAATGGACTAGGGAATCACGGCCAATTACAAACGTGATATTAGTTGCAAAGATGAGACTTTGTTAATCACTGACTGCGAAGAAGATTCAAATTTCAGATTAGAGCCTATCTGCACTCCAATCACAATCCGTCGCAAATTGTTAGTACATTTAACGACGCTTTTGGACATGGAAAATCTAACGAATTAATCAGTGATAGCAGATTTGTGAGTTCTAGCATTTGAATTCTATTCAAATATATAGCTTAAGTTTATGCAGTCAGAGACTTTTAAAAGCCATTGAGAAATGATTTTTTTTGCAGCAGCATCGAATGTTGCTGTGTTTCAAAGTCGCTGGCGAGACGGATTTCTCAGTCTCCGAATTTCCAATGTCCTTTTGCTATTGCTATGATCCGGAACAGTATGAATCTGCTGTTTATACAATCTGTATACCGACACCATGCTTAAAGGATGAAAAAACAGTCAGATTAGCTAAACTTTTGAAGGATTTAGCTAAACTTTTGAAGTCAGATTAGCTAAACTTTTGAAGACTAGCTAAACTCTTTGTTTTACTATGTCACTATAGGTATAGTCAACAATTTTTCAAAGGAAAAGGATAGTCCTGGCACGAGGAGGGGTAAAAGCAATTTCTGTGGTTTCCTGTTCGAACGATGCATTGTTGTAGTGAACCCATTACAGTGGCTGTAAAATCTAAAATTCAGTCTGCAACTGCTGGTCATTTTAGATGTTCTTTAAAAAAATCATTAACAGCATGAATGATTCATGCGCTGTGATTTAGCATGTGAAGTCATTTTGGCTGTGTTTTGGTCTTTCATGCGTGCCAGGGGAAAAGGACGTCAGTTAGGATGATGTTGCTGCATAACGGTACTGTGTGAACTTCCCGCATTCACCATTATTAATTTTGCTCAAAGAGAAATGAGTAGTTTTTGGTGAACCGTCATTCATCGAAAATGTGGACTTGTTAACGCATAATGTCGGGAAAAAGGATCGCAAGAACCGCAAAATGCACTCGTTTTGACGTTGCGATAAAACTGAGCATTTATTACTCTCGCGTGCTAGAAATTTCGCCTCCAAGTTGGATCTAAACTTCATGTAAAATAGCGAAGTTTTAGCTTCGCGGTTTTTTGGGTAAACAAAATCGGCATTTCGCTAGAATGTAATAGACGTGCTGCACGGTGGGGCGTAAATGCAATTCGAAACTTCATTTAGACATAAATTTTCCAATCGGACAATGAATATTCTGACAAAATTTGAGCTAGTGTTTTCCGGCTTGTGTTTGAGTTGTGTCGGTGCCAACTCAAACTTTGGCGCAGCTGTATGCGCGACGCAATCGTGTGTAATAGCTAAATTTGAAATCTTTAGCTCAAAAATGCACAGAGAACATTCCTGCAAAGTTACAGTTTTCTATCTTCCATCATTGCTGAGCTGAAAGTGAGTGAGAAACATCACTCACTTCCGAATACAACATAAATAAGGGCAATCTCTCTGCACAATATGCAAAAAAGCATAAAAATCCAGTTAGCAACGAAAAGGTTACTGGCACAATTAAACATTTTTGTAATAAACTTTCACCGTTGCTGCTCTACAGTTTAATATCAGAAGATGATAAGAGAGGAAGCATACTGTCTTTCATCACTTAGCTGTAACTACAGGCCGAACAGAGCCTGCTGGTAGAAATGGAAATCGTCAGTAGAGCCTTCTCCCGCCATGTCTATGACAAGCACGCGTTCAGTCCTTTAGGACTAAAATAAAGACCCAGGCTGGAACGCACCAGGCTCTCCGGTGCGATCATGCGTTTTTGCACTAAACTCGTAGA